ATTGTCAATGTTTAGATTAACATTCCATTCGATTATTAAGTTCATAAAAAGAATGCTGCAAAGTATGTTGGACAATTTTTATCAGAGAGTATGCAGCTACTTAATGCACTTTCGATTCTGTGAGAGTATTGCTCCTCTCTCGGCTTGCGATTCACACGCGCAAGAGGGGGTGTGTCCCACAGCGCAATATTATCATATAACATCAAGCACGGCCGTGTGTCTAGATGTCTTGCTGCAATGTCGCAGGTCTGCTGGTATGAAGCTAGTTATTCAAGGATGTGGTGAAAGTAATCGTATACACGTCAATCGAATATTTGACATGTGAGTGATGAACTTGGCCCATGAGGATATCCAGGGTCGCGTCCAATGAGAAAGGGAATGAGAAGAAGTGTGAGGCGATAACAAATACGCTTCAACAAGCAGTAAAATTCTACTACTACCATAAAACAGATGTGAATTGAAATTAAATCGATAAATACTGAGAACGACATCATTGTATTCAATAACTCACTGGTGTGCGTCATATAACAACTCCTCCTTTCTTACACATTCCGCATGGTTCATCAACGATAGGTGCGAGTAGGTGTGAGATGCACAAAGTTCGTTTAATTTTCGGTGTCCCTTGACTTTTCCTTGCCTTCGCCAGTAGACATTTGAGTACTATCTGCCGTAGAAGACGATTTAACTTCCGAATTCGTCGTACTATTCCGTTTCGAGCCGCCGCCACGTGATGTTTTCCCACCGCGTGTGGGTGTTGAATTACGTGCCTGTCGTTTCGCGTTACCATGGTGCCCCTTCTCCCTCTGCGAAGCACTAGCACTACTGCCAGCAGGTGTAGCAGCACCGGTATCTGAAATGCTCACGTTTGAAGAGTCCGGAGTTCCGGTACTCCTGTTATTGCGATTGGTGTTCGAGCCCTTACTACCCTTTCTCGATGTGAATCCACCACCCATAGAGGTGCCAGCTGCTTTAGTCCCGGCACCAGATTTACTAAGAGCCTCATCTTCGCCCGTGTTGGTGCACGCAGCTGCGCTCTTTTCCTGTGATCGCTTGCTATCACTCATGCCACCGCGTGAACGGGTCTTACTCCCCCGACCAGACGCTTTGGTATGAGGAATTCCAGCTCGCTGAGTACCACTACCAGACTTGCCAGTGTTTCCATGCGTTAGTGTCTCACCAGAGGCAGACAGTAACGGTTTCTTGTTTTGGGAGCCAAGCTGCTGTTCACCTGCATTCTCCTTTGAGTCACCCTGTTCAGTCTCCTTCTGTTTCGGTGTTGCACCGGATGTGTCCGCTCCATTGTTCAGATTCACTCCACGCTTCGTCTGCGGCTTCTCTTTGGAGTTGACACCGCTACTGCTGCCATCGTCCTCGTTGTCAAATTGCTTGGCATGGCCCTCTTGCTTGTGCGACTGCTTTTTACCCTTAACTGCAGGAGTTGCATTCTTAGGTTTGTCGCCATCCCTCTCCCTTCTCGGTGCAACGGCCACATCCGCACGCGACCCGGCATTGGCTTTCTTTCCGCTCGATCGCGAATCCGATTGCGCCGTCTGAAACGGCTGGTGAGCTAGCTGAGCTTGTGTGTTCTGATGTTGCGGCGCCTGGTATATCTCCTGCTGTGGTCGTTGTGATACGACTCTCTGCTGCGACTTGGTGATTGCCTCTTTAGAACCGCGTTGGTTGCTGTATCCCGCATCGCCCTTCGCATCAGCACGACCTTGAGTGAGATTCAGTGCCTGGGCCTGCTCGCTCATGGCTAACGATCGCATCTTATTCTGCTGGTACTGCTGCTGTTGCTGCTGGTGCTGCTTGGCGGCCTCTGCTCGCTGACGAGCGTTGAAGTCCTGCTGACCCTGTTGCTGCAATTGTTGCAACTGAGAGCGTTGTTGGGTCTGTGCTTGCTGTTGCGTCTGTTTCTGCAGTTGCTGCTGCGACTGATGCAATTGACGCGCTTGTTGAGGAGAGGTACTGACTCCACCCATACCCTGTGCTTGAGCATGTGCCTCGGCTTGGGCCACTGCTTGGGCGTGTGCCTGGGCTTGCTGGTGTCTGAACTGAGTGTACTGTGTGTATTTGATCTGATCAATCTCCTGTTGTTGCCGTTGCAACAGCTGCTCCTGTTGGAAGCCAGCTTGATAGGTGGATAGACTAGGTGACTGTTGTTGGATCTCCAACTGCGCCCGTTGGTATTGATGCTGATTTTGCAATGCAGTCAATTGCCGTTGCATCTGATATTGCTGCGAGGCTTCTACCTGCAATTGGTGTGTGAGTTCTGCGTTCGTAGGCGAGCTATTGGCCTTAGCAGCCGAGTTTTGGCCCGTTGTGGCATTGCTGAGGCCATTTTTCACCGTTTGCTGTCCGTCCGCTCTACTACCTGCAGTACCAACCAGTGGTGTACCACCATTCGACGATTTAGATACGTCTCCATGCCCAGACTTCGCGTGTGTCATCTGTGCACCATGATTGGCACCCATGCCAGCGCCATGAAACTCATCGTGATATCGATCATACCCTCCCAGACTACCCTTCTGCTGCTGCTGACGTTGGGTGGCTATATGCCTATCAGCATTCTGTAGCTGTTGCTGCTGCTTGGTGGTGTTGGACTGTGGACTATATGGATTCACAGTTCCCACACCTCCACGTGCATAACTCTGCTGCTGCTGTTGCTCTCTCCGTTGCAGCTGTTGCATATCCTGTTGCTGCTGCTGCTGCTGACGCGAGGCCCCCCTTGTCCCATCCTCCAGTTCTAAAGCGCCACTGGCCGCAGTGGCACTGCCAGGGTACATGGACGCACCTACATTCAAACCAGCGGGACTCTGGGCCAACAAAGCGGACACAGCTTCGGCGCTTGTTGGATCTACACTGCCTATACCACCACCCTTGGCGTTCTTCTTCATCTGCGCATTCGCATTCATACCAACTCCACCGACAACTCCATCCTTACCGCCACCGTTTGCGCCTAGCACAGGTCCCTGACGATCGGCGTCGGGGTCTGCACCTGTATCAGAATTCTGGTGCACAGCCGGCGCACCAAACCCGGTAGTCAACGATGGGGAGAAGGGTGCAGCGTTTACATACGCCGCCATAGAGATGGCGGAACCAGGGACATCGCGTGCATGCTTACCTGCACTCATCATGTCCACAGCGCCGGATACCCCGTGCATGTTTCTGGAGCTATTCATTACCAACCGTGCATCTGACCCCGAGATGGGGATGGCTCTGCTGGCAGCACTATTGACTTCTGTTGCAGGCAGCGCGGTATTGGCATTCGCACCCGGGGCTATCGCAGGAGAGATGCGACCCGGGGCCACACTCTCGTTTGCGGAGACACTGTCCACGTCTGTGGAACCCCTTTGCTGCTGCTGCAGTTGGTGTTGGTGCTGTGCCAAGGCTTGTGCTCGCACCTGCGCCTGTTGCTGGGCCCAGGAGTGCGCCATACTCTGCTGTGCCTGTAACTGACGGGCAAACTCCATCTGCTGCTGCCAGCCCAACCCATAAGTTGGTTGTTGCTGCTGTTGCTGTTGCTGTACTTGAGACGGTAGCTGCCTATAAACATCGGCTCCCTCACCCAGACCAACACTCGCTCCATACTGAGCATGTGCTTGGGCTTGCCGTGCTTGCAGCAAAAGCTGTTGCTGTTGTTGGTGCTGCTGCTGCATGAGCAACAGAGCCTGTTGTCCAAGGTCATCACTGACCCCCTCAACAGCTATGACATTACCCGCACTTCGCGGACTGCTGTCTGCCACCGTCGCACCGTTCTCTGCTTTCGCCGCAACATTCGCACTTGCGGACTTACTATTCTTTCCTTTACCCTTCCGCCTACTAGAGTCATTGGCTGCCAGTGCGGAATTTCCGGCTGAGGAGATATCGCTTACGGTCTGTGAGTCCAACTGTGCATGGCGTCCAGCCAATTGGGTGGGATCAAGTACACTTGCGTGGCCCCTGGCAAATTTCTTCGTCCCGAAAGTAGTAGTGACATCCTTGCCATCGGCTGTACCTACCTGTTGCTGTACGTTTCCGCCGAGTGCATTCAGGTCCGTATTGGCATGTGGTTGAGCTCCTATAGACTCGCCCGGGACAGTTGATCTCCAGCCCTCGACCACAGCAGTGCCATCAGTCGTTGTTGTGAAGCCTGTGGGCATCCCTTGCACTTGTGAATTTATTGTATTGTTGACACTCACATACCCGCTAGGCCCCAGGCCCAGACCCAAGCTTGGGTGCGCGTGTGCATCGAGCGTGTGTACCTGCCCACTGTGTTGCAAGGGATGTCCATGGACATTCACATTGCTGTGCATTTGTTGGTGGTGCTGATGCGAGTAGTTGTTCAGCCCGTACTGACTAACAAACGGTTGGTACATAAACGGCATGAAGACGTTCCCATACGGAGAAGAACCACCAGTAGGGCTGTAAGGTTCCAAGACAGGTCGCTGTTGTTGCTGCTGCTGGCCGCTGTACACCTGATGTTGCTGTTGCTGCGATGCATACTGATGCTGTTGATACTGGTGCTGTAATTGTTGTTGTTGTTGTTGCCTCGCAATCGATTCCGAGGCCAGCTGTTGCGCGTGTAGCTGCGCCTGTTTCAATGATGTCTCGTCTTTGTCTCCCGCAGCAGGCGATTGTGTCGTAGCCAATGCAGGGATCGCTGCCGGAACGTCACCTGTATCGTCGCCCTTCGCTTCCGTACTCACACTTTTGACTTCACCGACTATGTTCGTTTCCATAACAACAGCAACGGCAGATCCCCCAGTCTTTCCCGAGGCACCAGCGCCTCTCGGGGCACCTGTGTGCTTGTCACTGTCTATACCGGCCTTGCCGCTTGGCGCTGTGTCGCCTGCGTGCTTGCTCTTCACGTCGTCGGCGGACGCTCTAGTGTTCTTGTTCCGACCTTTACCCTCTTTCACGTTTACGCTTGCACCCCCATTCCCGCTGGTGGTATTGGTGGTAGAGTTCTGCGCGCCTGGCTTGGGCTTTCCGACCTTGTCCCCCTTTACTTCCCCCTTCCCGCGTACAATTGGTGTTTGCGCGGTGTTGTCGCCGCTTTTCCTGTCTTTATTCTTAGTAGCACCCCTCACAATCGCTGCACCCTTGCTTGCGGGGTCTTCCGACACACTGTTGTTGCGGTTTCGGTCGGGTTTCTTCTTGTTGGCCGCCGGCTTCTCATTCGTACCTGCGTTGCTGTCTTTCCTTCCATTACCCTTGTTGTCTTTTGCGATACCTTTGCCTGACTCCAGAGCACCTGTGCCGCCATCATCTACACTCAAACGATTCGCTCTCGTGCTCACGGCTGACTTTGGGTTTGTCTTGTTATTCCTATCCCGATTTGCGATTGCAGGTACAGCTCCGTCTGTTTTATTCTGGGCTCGCATGGACGGTGAGCGCAGAATTGTAGCATTCATCAGTTCAGTAGCCGCGCTCTCTTCGGATAGCTTCTCCTCCTCTATGTACCGGAAAAGCAAAGATGAGAGGGGGAAGGGGAAGACATAAACAATTTCAGAATACATACTACATTGTACTTCAGGTATACCCATGAAATTAGGTCGGCGCGTGTATATAAGCCAGTATTTAGGACAATGGAACTAGCATGTAGTATTAATCGACTAAGAATTGAGCATAGAAAAAATCGACTAAGAATTGAGTATAGAAAAAAATCACAAAAACCAAAGTCAAAAACTAAATCAGTATTCTGCAACCATAAAATGCATTCACTCTTGATATCGTACCGGTTGTTTCGTGTCGTAAACTCGGGCTCTGTTGTGCTATGCTGTGGCTTGGGCTTATGCCGATGCTCCCAATACCCATGCCGATCCCGCTATTGAAACCTCCCATAAAACGAGACTCTGACAGATCCGCCCGCTCCCACGCGGCCTTAGCGGCCATCATAGTGGAGGTCGCCACGCCATGGCTAGAGAGCATTATATTCGTCGAGTCACCACTTCGCTGTTGTTGCGCGCGGGGTGTACGCGTACTTGAGCGCGGCGTTGTAGGTACGCTGTTGTGGTGCTTGCCCGCGCCGTCAGCGTCGAGACGGACCTGCTGAGTATCAGCGGCTGTTGGCGTGTTTCTGTGCGAGTGTTGGCTGTCGCTAAGGTTGGCGTAGATTCTCGAGCTGCCACTGAGCATTGCCGCGTGATTGTCTCTGTGTTGCTGCTGCTGATGTGTTGCTGGGGGTGAACGGTGGGTGTCTCTTGTGGGTTCTTGGGTGGTAGGCTTGCCAGCCCGTGCTTCCAGCGCAGCCAGTGTCTTGCTCTCCTTCCTCGACATGCGCGCTCCAGACGTCTGCACGGGGGGGCCATGCGCAGTCACCTGTGGCTGCGAATGCGTGCCAGCCCGTGCCTGCGATTGCACGAGCTTGTCAGCATCGGTCACTGCACTGACGCCTTTGTCACCGGCAGCAGACCCCACATCAGTCGCAGCACCGCTCACATTTATTCCACGATTGGGCGTAGCAGACACACTCGTGGGCGTGGGCGAGGGCGTCAGCAGCCGCAGGGGTTGTGCCCAAGCGTTCGCATTGATAGGCGGTTGCCTCGGTGTGGCACTGTTGCTGGAGTTCGGCCGTGGCTGTGACAGCGATTGAGCCTGCTGTGCATAGGCCTGGGCGTGCGCCTGGGCTTGGGCCTGAGCCTGTTGGGCGTGTGTCTGTTGCTGCTGTCGCGCATTCCCCGTAGCCACCGATGTATGTACCGACCTGCGTGTGGGTGGCGAGTTCACAGGCGAGCTGGAGCTTGCCGCGGCCACCTGTGTATGCGCGCCGCTGTTGTGTTGTTTTGTGATGTACTGCCTCTCACTGCCACCCTTACTGGGCCTCTTGTCGAGGCTCTCATGCGATTCCGTGGGCGTTGGGGTGGACACCCGTCCCGCATTCGGCCCCGCTTTGTCCACGGGCTGTCTGTTTGTGACCGCGTGCTTCATGCCCGGCATTCGGAGGCGCACTGTGAACTGCAGCGGCGCAGACGCCGCAGATGATGTCGTTGGGGCCAATACAGTTGGCAACAAGGAGGCAGGGCTATCCCTGCCACTCCGTCTGGCATGTGCCTGGATAGTATGAGAGGCATTGGCGATTCGGCTGGGTTCGTTGTTAGCGTGACCGGTGGAGAGAGAGTTGCTGCGAGATACAACGTTCTGTGAGTCCCGTTTCTTGATTGTGTTCTCTTTCTCCTGTGTATGAATAAGTGGGGTGGATGAGGGAAACGTATATACAGCAGACAACGGATGTGACAAGATGACAATTGATGCTAGGAGCTACAGTTCAGTTGCATATAATTATTTGACTAATCCCAACCAGAGGCTCCAGTGCGAATAAACACGTGGTGTCCTATGCGGCAGGACCTACGCACGAGGCGCACACAGAAAAATAAATTACGAATGTACCACCAACACATGCACGTTCCCACAACCCACACCAGGTGCCTGTGCAGCCCCCACTAAGTAGCGATACATAATCAATAGCTAATACACGTCACACTGTTATCATGAGCGGAGGCAGCGTGCTTGCGTACGGGTGAATAAGAAAGGAGGAAAGGTTATGCAATACAACACACCTCTTTCTTCTCCTTCTTTAGCTTGGATTTCGACACCACCTCTGTGAAGGCACCGCCATCCTCGCCATCGCCATAGTCAATGCCGGTCTGGCCCTCGTGACCAATCAGAACAACTCCTGCCACCAATGGCGAGTGTGCGGGCGCCTGCGCACTACCCCCCTCCCCTTCACTCTCTGAACCACTTGCATGCGCTGCGATACTCTCAGCGGTATCAGTGACCGGCGGAGCGGCGGACACGGCTTTGGTCTGAGAAGTGGGTATGAATGGATACTGGGACGTGTCAGTTAAAAAACCAGAGGTTTCTCATTGTGAGCAAATGCATGTGGGTGGAGAAGGCAAGATACTTTGGAGGCTGCTCCTCCAAACAGAAGTACCGGCAGTGCGTTCGTCAATGAGGCCGCTCGAGCAATTCGCAAGCAAGGCCCAACTCCCATAAGAAACGGTTTATGAGGAAGATTCACATATTGTAACATAATATTCCGCACACAAATACAGGGACACAACAAGCAGTATGATAAAGTATGCGTGTACAACGCACTAACTAGGTCAGATGAGCACTAAGCCGTTTGTGGTGCAGATCTCGAACTGGCTCACATCTCAAAACAACCAATACAACCAACGTCAGTACAACATATATCATACACCAAAAAGCCAATAACACTATATTCAGATTCCCCGCCACAGCATTGACTTTGAAAACAGCATTAAAATGATCATAATCAACCAGGAGACACCAACTAATTCAAAAACAAGCAACATCTAGACCCATCAAAAGATATCACACAGCGAGTATACGCAGACAATACAAAGCAGAACCTACTACACTACTTTTGCAACGGGCACAACCACGGGCGTAGGCGTGCCCGTTTCAGCGCGCGCGACAACTGCGTCCGTGTTAACCGCACTCGACAGTAGATCGGCAACGAACGACTTTGCCGGTGGCATGCGGAATAGTACTTGGCGCGGCTTCTCTTGATCCGTAACCGACTGCGAATACACAAGAAGACATGGGTTCGAAGTGAGCGAGGCGTATCCATTTCACGTGGACCGGTGGCTGGAGTGGGTGATAGGCACAGCAGCCACGATATAGCAACACATCTCTCGGCTTGACATTCTAGCAACCTATCGAGAGCGTATATACAATGCGTGCGAACTAAGCGGGCGGGATCCACCCGTCTTTCTACTGATCGTCACGCCTACCTCTTCAGGAGCCGCGTCCACGAAGATGATGGGCTTGCGCACATAGCTTTCCAGATTCTCCAGAGCCCTCTGCAACTTGGCCTGAGCAGTCAGCAGTCGTTTGTGCTGCGCTAATTGGTCTTGTTGCTGCGCAAGAAGCTTCTTCTCAATCTCAATATTCTTCTGTTGCCGGGCCTGTAGGCGTGCCTCTCTCTGCTGCTGCTTCTGCAAGCGCTGTGCCTCTCGATTAGACATACCCGTCTGCGTGTACTGTCCGGGCTCTGTATAGGTTGAAGAGTAAGTTGTAGCGCGAAGGTAAGTACCTTTTGCTTCTAAGATGGAATTACAAACGTAAATATAGGCACGTACAGAGAGAACTGTACATCAACGACGTACTCAGTCGCATTGGCGTTCGTGCCTTCCATGAGCAAATGAGGATTTGTAGCATGTGGACCTAACACGTCGAGCTGTCATATATATCCAATGACGGTAAGTCAAGGTAGATCTGCATGCTCAGTACATACTCCCACAGAGGGCTCTGTCATATACCCTCATACCTCACCTCAATATATCACACACGTCACCAAGAGATTTCCTCCTACTAATATGAGTTTTCTGGAGATAAAGAATATACACACAGGCGCCGACATTCACCAACCCAGCGTACTATTCCGGAGGTACTACGAAGGAGCGGGCATGTGAACGGGGAAGGTTGGTATGCACCGACAGACGAATTTTATGCAGAGAGGCACTCGACACCCCAACAGGCGTGAGTGATAAGAAACGCTTACACGTTTTAAAACACATACTGGTAGTGGCCACCGCCGCATTGCCAGCTGAACCCTCTCCATTGGCCGCGTCCTTTCCACCGGGCTGTTCGTGATATAAGGATTGAAATAAAAGTGAGACTACGGAATGTGAAACATAGCCTTTACACTGATCAAAATAAATCCATTCAACAGGCTGCAGCATACATACAAGAGACACATTTTCTGACCCATAGGTCAGTGGTCCCAGCCGACAGTCTGCAGGGTGCACGTACAGGCCTTTACCAATACGGAACATTCAAATCATCCCAAACCAGGACTAAGCGACACGAAGAATGGCTGCACAGTATCATCATGTACGTCCCATTGACTAAGCGACACAAAGAATGGCAGCACAATATCATCCTGTACGTACCACTGACTCGTGCCTCAGCAAGACTGGAGGTCTACTCGCCTCCCCATCCGCATTCCGAGCCTGAGCCTGTGATGCCGTGTTATCGCTATTGCTATGGCGGGAGGCCGCGTGCCCATTCCTCGCTGCCTCTCTCTCCTGCGTCTCTGGCGAGGGGGTCGGCCTGTGCATGATGTGGTACTGTTGCGGGGGTGCACTTGCACGCTGATGAGTCTGCGCCTGGGCTTGCGACATACGGCCGGCATACGTCTGCGAGTTCTGGGGTGCATACTGTCCCTGTTGCTGCTGTTGCTGGTGTTGCTGGTGCTGGTGCTGGTGCTGTTGGTGTTTCGGGCCTGGCGCATATGCACCGCGCCCATACAACGGCATAGACTGGCGTTGACCCATCGCGTGTGGGTGTGGGTGTGCAGGAGATGCCTGTGCCTCTCCCTGCCTCTCCGCATACGCATTCTCGGACGCACGCTGTTCACCCTGTGCAGCCGGGCCGTTTCCGATAAGTCCAGCACCCTCCTGTGGTCGCTGATGTATGCGCGAAACCTTCATGTCCTTGTTCGCAGGCCCGGGTGTGTACCCGTGATTGTACTCCTCCGACGCCTGTTGCTTAGTAACCATACTATTTCGCCAGCTCCCTAGGCTATCAATATCGCGCGAGGGACCAACGGTCACATTGGTTGCAGTCGATTGCGAGTATGTGCGTGTGCGTGTCGGGGCTGCCTGAGATCCATCTGCGTGTTTGTGCGTGTTCGTGTGTGTGTAAGCATTGCCATGTGTTCGTGTGTCGTGCTTCTGTGCATCTTGCGCTGCGGCTGAAACGGCGGCGTTCTTGGCATCTTCTTCTGCTTGCGCTGCTTTTTCTAGTTCCTGAAGCGACACAAAGCAAACATAAACACAGCGAATGAGTGGGCCGGTCGTTTAAACAGCATACTTTTAGTGTCACGGACAAACCGCAAAGATTAGTCGGTGTGTCAGTACAGCGAAGTGGTAGCCTGTCTGTGATAGAATTGCCTGCCGTGATATTAATCCACAGATATGCCACAGGCTCTTGATTTCCAGGTGTCCGTGAAGTAGTAGATAGACAGCACAAAGTGCAACCGATCGAAATCAATGTTAAGAATAAACTTTTAGCGCACCAACGACGTTCCGTTACCCACAATGGCCTGCTAAATATAATACCACCTGGTGCGTTTGATAGGAGAGTACACATTCTTACAATAACCTTGACAACGCTCGTGACCACGAAAAACAAAATGCTCACTACCGACTACATGCGTGCCAGTTTCAAGAACGCACTAGCACGCGATGACACGCACGCAGCTGGTCCATCGCCCAAAATATACCCATATAGCAAGAAGCACGGCTTCTTCTTGTGCATACACTTGTCGAGTGTTTAATGTATACACACGATATCTACACAGACACACACATGTTATACACACACACACACACACATGTTATATATACACATCTGGGTTTTCCGAACAGGCTTATATATACACATATGGGTTTTATGTACAGGCTTCTGGTGACAACTGACTTACCAGTAGCTTTGCGGCGGCGCGTGCCTTCCTAGCGGCCTCTGCCGCTGCCTCGTTCTCTTGTTTGCGCTGGCGTGCGCGCATGTTGGACTCGTGCATGATCTTTGCTTGCTCCTGCTCAAGGTTCGCCTGTTTTCAAATAGCATCGGATTATGAGTCTCGGTACATCCGTTTCAGCAAACGAAACCATGTACACACACAAAATATATCAGTTGCCTCAACACACTCATGGCTAGCGACAGGCAGGGTCGAAACACGGTACACAAACACAAACAAGGTCCGACATAGGGGCATTAATGTAAATGAAAACGTGTACCAACACCAGACAACAATAGCTGAGCCACACCACACACCGCATACTCCGCCTCCTGCTGTGCAGTGATCACTCTGGCTTGCTTCTCCGCCACCTCTTCCTCCACAGCCTCGGCCCAGTCCAGGTGCGGTCGTGCGGGTGACGGCACCCGATCGTCAGTGGATGCCGAGGAAGGGCTTACTGAACGCGGCTCATCTGCTGCACTCACTGCCAGTGTGTCTTTGGCCTTAGAGGCGGCGTCACTCGCTTCCTGGACGGCCTTCGCAGCCTCCACAGCCTTCGCAGCCTCCACAGCCTTCGCAGCCTCCACAGCCTTCGCAGCCTCCACAGCCTCCGCAGCCTTCTCAGCCTCCGCAGCCTTCTCAGCCTTCGCAGCCTGGGCGGCCTGGCGTTTCTGTGTACGTGGTTGTGAATAGGGGGAGGTGAAGGGTGGGTGGTTATGGCTTAGGGATATCTCTGCGGTGTGGTACTGCTTTCGAAGAGAGCGGCAATCGGGCTGCACTACGATCAACCAATGCATAGGCTAACAGCCCACATGACTTGGTGCCTAAGCGCAAGTGGGTCGAGCAACGAAACTGAACTTAATAAACCCATCCCCATACCTCTTCGGCAGCAGCAGCGGCACGCTCAGACGGCAGTACAACGGGCGCCCAGCCGGCGGGAGGGGCGTGTTTTCGGATGTCGGCATTACGGTTCTCAGTCAAACGGACGTCGGCATTCCTCTGGCTGTGCATGTGATTGTATCCCACCATGGTGTTTCTGCGGGCAGCCTCTGCCCTGGCCTCCTCTTCTAGCTGTTTCAAACTAATCGGCTGTAGGCATGGCGTGCGATAAGTATGGGGTAGAGAGACATACCTCGATAAACTTCTGATTCCGAATACACTCACGTCGCCGTCTACAATCTGCTATTAAACGTTTAACGCTTATGAACGATGTCGCACATGCTTTGGCGTCGGGATGGTACGATACACGGTACTCCCTACACATACCTGGATAGTCGTTTTCTTACTCCATGCGGGTACAGGCGCGGGCTTTGGCGCAGGCGCTTGCTGCACCACAGGCGCATGTACTGGGGCGCCCAAATTGCCCAACACTGCGTTCCCACCAGTCACGATGCCTGTATGGACACGGGGGAGGCAAGGTGTCAGCATCTGTGTCACTTGCAGCTGAGTGTGCAAAGCGCCGATGCGTACAGATATGACTAGGAATCGCACGAGATACAGCAAGCCAACACAGCACAAGCCACACACCGGTATGCCACATGGAATTGTCAACAAGCATGCATGCATACATACATACCCCCACCACCTACAGCGGCTCTACTGACGAACGGCAACCTCTCCAGCGGCTCGGATTGGCTCACAGGCGCTTCACCCGCAGCCGCGCTGTCCTCCGCACTATCATTCACCTGTGCAGGTCGCCCCAGCACCTCCATCTTAGTCAGTGAAGATGGCGCAGGTGTACATCTCTTCAGAAGTGCGGGCATGACAGGCTTGCTCTCAGCGTCGTCTTTCCTGTCTGTGCTGGGACTCTCCTTGTTATCGTTTGCCGGTGTCGGCTCGTCGGGTGACTCACTGCCCTCTACGTCCCTGTCCAGTACATCAGGCGCGGTAAAAGCGGGTTGATGTTCTTCTTCTGTAGTGTCATCGGCTTTGTCGCCAGCACTCTCGGTGGTCTCCGTTCTGTAGTGTAGTGCGAGAGTAGTGGGCGATGGTGGTGAGCACAAGGACGAACAGTTGTAGTAGAGCCCATGAAGTGATACTACTGTTGAACCTGACCTTGCTTGTGAGCGAGATATTTGTCGACACGACCACCTCTGAAATGATGTTCAAATTTCTACACTTGTCTGCCTTTTGAAAATAATATATATATATATATAAGAGCTGATATGTATACGTATATACACATGATACACACACATACACACACACACACACACAAACACAACACAGAAACGGCACAGAAACAAACACAGAAACGGAAACAGACACAGACACAGACACAGAAACAGACACAGACACGGACACAGGTATATATATAATGAAAAAGAACTGTGCACAGGGGGCGAGATTCACATCCCATGATTAAGATGCGTACGAACAGCATTTCTAAATAAAAATACATTGTCCGGATTTAGGAAAACTTCCCAGACAGTAGTATACTAAGTATTGATCTGGCAAGATGGAACATGTGATGAATATTCAAATACCAAGATATTCGCATATATATAGGTCCCGACTAGTGCACTCTCCAACACCGACCAACAGTACTGCTTACCGCTCGCTCACATCTGTGGCCCCTCTGATATGCAGCAGATTCTTCAGCAGATCTTGATCCGCAAAGTCCATCTCTCCGTCCACGGCCCAGGTACTTTGTTCCTTCTTGTCCTCCTGCAAGTCTTGCTCAATCTCTCTAAGCAACTCTTCATTCGCCGTGTGTGCAAGCGACGAGATATTGGCCACAGAGTTGGACGATGGAGGGCGTGAGTGCGGTTGTGAGTGGGTATTGTATGGGCTTGTTCCCCGTCGTACACCTTGCGTCTGGGGCGAGTACCGGTCCCATTCCCTGTCTCTTTGGGTGTAGTTCATGTTGCCATTGGAATCTCCTGCGTGACGCCGTAAAAGCGATTGACTGGCAGTCCTTCCTCCCTGGGAGTCGATATTAGGGTTTGTCACATAACTTTCAGCACACGGTATACTATGTCGCATGGCAGGGAGAAGGCATATAACTGAAAGTCCCACAATTTGCAATAGCAGCACAAAACACTAATGACGAGTGCACGTACCACACCCAGAATACCTCGAGTCTAGTCAATCAGATACATCTCGTTCACATCATAAGCATTCAGACACAATACGTCACCCGCAGGGAACAAACACAGTCATGAAAACAGCCCCACTGTTTACTTTAACCTGATCAGCTCTTAATAAGTTCACTCTATTGTGGCTCAAACGTACCGCTTGTTGCGGTTGCGAGTAATACTGGCCACTAGCACTTGCACTCCTACCCACACCGTCTCGTGATTGCAAGAATGCGTCACTTTCCGGCTCACCCAACGCCGGGAAGTCTGGTCGTCTGCCACTCATCATCCCAGAGCCCATACCTCCATAAGGCCCTGAATATGGGGTAAGCCAGGGCAACAACAATGTGAATAAACATACACATAGGCACGTCAACGTACAACAACGTCTACTGGCTCAGGCTCGTTTGAAAGTGTAATGAACCCTTCGATAAACATACTTTTCTGTTTGCATATGTATCACTTGATATATTGCGGATCGCACTACAATAGTAGGATGCACACGCTAACAGAAGCTATTACATAGGGGTAGTGAAACAATATAGACGGAGCCGAGAACGGGGAGAGGCACTGAACAGACTGCCACGAAATCGTTTATCGCGTCTGTAGATACGAACACAAGGCACACACAACAGCATATGTGTTTGTTATCGACGGGGTTGAACCGAAAAAAATATATATATCATATATCCGTGCCATTCTGAGTGCGCCATCACAGGGGCCACAAGCTAAGCTGCCGAGAACCTATCGGTATCCCACTTGTCATCTGCTACTATATAAGTAATATATAGTACTCGCCCCAGAACCACGAGCCCTACCACAACTCTCATACGAGATAAATCATGCACTAAAGCAAGCCATTGTGGCATGTCCAATTATTCATACCACTCACCTGTCGGCTTGGAGCCGTACTGCTTTGCGCCACCGAAAGCAGAGCCCCGTGTATCGCCTCCTGTAGACGCACTTTCCAGGGGATCTTGTGAGCGCGCGCCAACGGACAGCATCCTCCAATCATTTCGCGCGGACGGCAGAGGATGGCTTTGACGCGGACGTCCGACCTATGACGGCGGGGTTATTCGTGTAAGAAATTCAAGTGTATTAATATATATAGATATATATTGTAGATAAATATAAAAATAAAAACATATATAAGATATATATATATATATATATATATATATATATATA